TGGAGGCGTGATGCTGGGCTAGACAGATTTTTGGACCATCCCGGAACAGCCCTGCTTGTATTCTTGGGAGCTGACGGAGAGGTCAGGGGTGGAAAGAGGGAGCCAGGAATTCTAGAAAACTGCTTTCTTCATTTTTTCTGAAAACCTGCCTGTTGAAACGGGTGCCAATTCACAAAGTGAAAAATTTCCTCAGTGTTTCTCCAAGACAGTCTGAAAGAGTAACCGCCCCGATGAGTCAAATCAGTAGCATCTTTGGCCCCAGAGGAAAGAACATGGCAAAAAGATCATTCTGGATCAACTAGAAGTCAAGACTGCAACAAGAAACTTTGAAGTCCCCTAATGAGTTCCTGGAAGGAGATTAGACTTAGAAAAAAACCCCATACCATGCTTTGGGTCATGATTTCCACAGGCAGAAGAGCCTCACTCTGTCCCAGGCTATTGCTGCGAGTACACTTGGGAGCAATTAACTACATGGATTCGCCCTATCAACAACGGCATGAATAAGGTTGCTCCTGGATGTAATATCTGTGTGCTGGGCAGTGAGCCATGCGCAATGTCAGGCGAGCTCTACAGAAGAAGGATTTGGCTGCAAACCTGCCAGTGCTGCAAAGTGTGTAATATTGAAAAAACATAAAGACAAGGAGTGTTTGGCACCCTGAGACCTACATTCTGCGGGAAGTCTTGGGCTATCAATGCAGGATCTGTGAGCGGGTTAGTCAGTCCAGCCCCCTGTTTTGAAGAGGCAGAAACTGAGTCAGAAAGGGCAATGAAGTTTTCTTAAGGTAATTAGAGAGACTTTTTAAAAATTTGTTTATGGTTTATTACTCCGTTGCCTACTCTCCTTGACAGCTAAGCCATTTCTGGTTCACCTTTCACTACTGAGCAATTCTTTCCTCTGGTTAACACCCAGAAACCCTCATATGTATTTTTCTCTTTTCCGTGGTTTCTTTTAAATCCCAGTGACTATCTACTGTCTCTTTTCTTCCTCCCAGCTCTTGGCTCTGGGTTGTTTTTGATTGGACCCTTGTTAACAGCTTCGTTGTTTCCCTATATACGCAGAGCGTAGCTGCATGCTCTCCCTCTCAACCGCAGGAGAAATCAGAAAATAAAGTTCCCCCGAGAGAGCCCAGCCTGTCTCTTCTGTAACAAGCCGAAGCAACTTTTGCGAAATGACTGCCTCCGTGGGCAGACAGCTGAGCTCTCTGAGACAAATTTGGGGCTCAGAGTGCACAGACATAATAATTACCAGAAATACATCACAACCTCCTCTCCTGGCATTAGTTAGGCCATTCCTAAATCACAAGATGCAGTCTCTCTCTCTCACTCCTGACTCTCTGGGTACGAAAACTTTTGCTTTCTGTCATTCTCTCTCGGTACACTGCAATCTTCCTCCACAAAATTATAAATGATAACACCTGCTGAGGCTCTTATTTGTTCATTCCCCCTATCTCCGGCTGCTCCCTGTGTGAGATATTACGCCCACACAGAGGCATGAAATATACAGTAGCTGCTTGTGAAACTTCTATATGAGAGATGCAATGAGTATAAATAATGGTATTGTTCCGATGTTCTTCATCTTGTATCTGACAGAACATGTTCAAGAAACTCCAGGAACACTCTAAAGCTGATGGAGAAGTCATTCACACCGTATCAGTGTAGCTGAAAACAAATGTGCAGGACTGCTCTGGACATCCTATTTTCCTTTCACCACCAGAATGTATTTATTCTTCAAGTCTTACCATATTCATATTTACTTTAATGATTCATAAACATCCTAGGTTCCAGAACCTTCTAATTAACTCACCTATTTAGTGTCGTTAACAGATGCTCAGGGAGTGATTTATTGTACAACACCAGATCACACCAACATATAAATCCAGCCAATTGAATTGGCAGGCAGTCTGGGTAAATATCTTCTGCTGATGGTAGATGAGACTCTGTCCTAAATTCAGCATTAATGCCCTGCAGACTGTGGCTGACACATTATTATTTTCTTCTTGTATTACTCTGCACATGTAGCATACATTGTACTGTACAACACTGGTTATTTCCCTCTTTTTTAAAAAAAAAGATTTAGTGAGATACTGCACAGGATTCGGGGATATATTTATCCTGTCTGAGAACAGAGGAAATCAATAGCCCCAAAGAAGTTTTCGCTCAAGCTCCTTTTAATTTACCTCTGGTTTTCTGTAGTTCCAAGAACGAAACCAGTCCTTCCGACACGCTACAGCAAAACGATCCTAAACTTTATTAGAAAAGTCACATTGGAGACCCCATCTATACTAGAGATGTGGCCAGATCTCCAGACCATTTACTGATGAATAAGGGAGCGGGACTGGCCACCACGGCTTTGGGCAGACCGTGGAGCTCCACACCTACAACAGCAGAGTTAGTTAGCTCTACGGGTACTTCCACAGCGGTGCATTACACAACGCCGAGGGACGTTGCTGAATTTAGTAATTCAGGGACCTCAGCATCGTTTCTAGCCCAGGCCAGCTAAACCTCCACCAAACCCTGGCAGGCAGAGGCAGCAGCCGGAGAGCATCCGCACGGGGCCGTCCGCAGGCAGCCACGCGGTGGGCACGGCCAGCGCCCAGCCTGGACAGAGCCAGCCCGCGCCAGCCGGGCTCGCTGTTACAGGCTGCTCTTAGGCTGTATTTACACCGTTAAATCAGTAACGCTGTCAGCTTTGGCCTGGCAGACTTGTTTTACTTGGAAACTAGGGTGGTTTGGTTTTTTTTTTTTTTAAAATTTTCAAAATGGTAACAACACATGGCCTGATTGCCTCTGCTTGTTGCCTGGGCAGGAGCTCTCTTCCAAAACTGAAAGGCAAGTTATTTACCTCGCTGGAGGAGAGCTGCAGACAAATTTTACAGCTTTTCTCCTAAGAGCTCACTCCCTTTTCATTCCAGTTCTTCCCAATGGCAACACCATGACTCAGTTTGCGTTAGCAAAATACTAAGGAAACACAGATAAATATTATTTTAAATTCCTTAAGGTGGGAGTCATTCGATGATTTTGTTAAAATAGCCTTTTTTGCAGTAATTATGTTTTTGTCTGTCTATAGTCTTCAAAAAAGGTATATTTAAGCTTTGTGTTTCAACTGCACTGAAAGGGACTGTTGTAAATAATTAGGGTGTGTTTTCTGCTCAGTTTTTTTAAAAACTATATTTATAGTAAAATTACTGGATTTTAATATACATTTGACTCAGAATGAGATTTTGAAGATGAACCATCTCTGCTGCCTGCTCCAAGCTTTACTTACAGCAGTGCTTTCTGCATGTGGGTTTGGGGAGGGGGAAGAAATACAAGCAATATTTAAGGCGGAATGGGATGCAAAACTACATTAACATGGCACTGTGCCCAAATAAGTGAACGAGAATGGAATAGGACGGCTTGACAAAGGTGATATACATTAAATAAATATGCTGCATTAAGGAATTCCCAGGAGTTAGTTATTAAATTTCTCCTCAGGACTCGCTATTAGCAATCAATGCAGAAACAATACCACGATGAGCGTGATTGTTTTTACTTTTTAATTAAAGCTTTCACCTCGAGTATAGCACCCTTCCTTGCTGCTTCCGTCTCTCGTGGTCAGTTCCCAAGGTGCACGTGGTCTCTCACATGGGAGAAGAAAGGCACAGCCCGCTCCTAACAGCTGTGCTGCTGTGAACAGCTTCGACCTGGGGCTACAGCAGCAGCGTAGTGTGCTGCAAGCGCAGGGCGCCCGGACCTACCTCTCCTGCGCCGGCCGGAGGAGATCTCCGCAGTTTCCACTAGGACTGGCCAACTCCCACCACTCAAGCTGATTTCTCAAACTCCATGAAACAACTGTCCTTACAGTTTGCAAAGCCAACAGAAAGCATCATACATTATAGCTGTGTACATACTCCAGACATGCAAGAACCTGTGCAGATAATGCACTATGAGAACTACTTTGCAAACGTATGATACATAGGTTGAAGAAGTCTTTAAAAACCATGGCTTAAACTCATGTAGGTGAAGAAACAGAAAGCTTTCCTTTTAAGAATTACATCTCGGTTAAGTAGAAATGCACCGAGAAAAGTTAAGAATCTGTAAGAGATGACGGGGAACACTGTTATGGCACACGCATGCCACAGCATGTACTCTGCTGCACACCCCTGCATTGTGTCACCTCAGTCACTCACTCTGCCTCCCAATGCCACCAAACACGCAAGGTACAGGAAAGAGCGACTGAAGAAAATCAGGTACTTGAAATAATTTTGGCAGCTCCCTCCTCCAGCCCAGTTCTATTCTGTTCATAACCTCACCGAACAGTGAAACAAGCGCAACAGGGGCCGAGTCCCATCGCGGCCAGCTGGCTGTATTTCAGGACTCCTCCACAGCCGTGCTATACTGCGACGGCATTAGGTGTTAGCCAGGGCTTTGATTCAGCATTTTCAAGTTGCATTCTTCCTATTTAAAAAGGACGAATAAACTAGAGATAAACTAGACACACTAGAGAAGCCATTATGATGTCACAAATATCAACACAATCACACACCCTCCAGGATCTTCTTAATAAATAAAGATCCTGAACAACAGACGTGTCAGTTCTCATGGAGTTTACAGAGTGATTTCGGCTGGAAGGGACTTCTTGAGGGCATCCGGTCACTTTGCAAAAGAGTTAACTTTTCTATTCAAACAGTACAGCTAAATAAGATACTATGCTCTTTTAGGTCAATCCCACATTCTGTGACAGAACAACTGTCAGAATTAGTTTTAGTAAGAATAGCAACCAAGATTTAGAAAGAAGACTAGTATCCCACCAAAACCCATATGAAACCCAAGAAGCATTTCTAAAAGATTGCTACCGGTCATGTGAAATCTCTGGCAGGAATCAAGATGCTGGAGAGAATAATGAAACACGAAGGTTCCTAAATATTTTGTCACAAACCCAATCACTAAACAACCCAATAAATTACTAGGACAATAACTTGCAAATGTTGAGATGCAGTAATAAGCAGCACCAACTCATAAAAATAAGTTTTAATATTAACAACTTGATTTCACATGATTGCATATTAATCTTTCTTTTCACGGAGTTCAAACAATGTTCAAGTCTTGCATTTTTTAGGAAGATGGGTTTATTCTTCTTCATTCTTCTGCACTGACTGCACAGCTTCTGCTTTAGCCCTATTTCGCTTTCTTTTTCTTCTTTTCTTCTTTTCAGCAGAAGGCTCCTGACCCTCCTGTGTTTTCTTTTTCTTCTTCAGACAGCTGAGAGGATTGGGGCCGCCTGCCCTTTTACGTTTTCTTCTCTTTTCACCTGCTTGCTTTGCTAGTCCTTCTTTTTCTTTAAGCTGCACAATACTTTGTTTTTGGTGCTCTGGAACAAGCTGATCTGTCTGCAACTTTTGGACAAACGCCAAAGATTTAGGAGAAGGTTTGTCTAGCACCATAGTGTTCTGAATAATAAAGAGGAGAGGAACACCAGCCTTCTTTTTCACTTTGTTTGCTAAATCCTGGTCCTGTAAAATTAAATACTTTAGTCAATATTTTGAGATTAAACAATATTTGCAATTCAAATGCACCTACTTTCAATACAAAACTATGAAGATAAATTACATTAGGAAAAAGATAAGAAACTTAATCTAGCAGATATACCTGGCAGTGCCGTTCAGAGCAATTTAATTTTCAATTTCTCTCCTTCTGATTAGCTGTACTTCTGATGGAAAATGTATTAATGTTTCCTTTTTTCATGCACGTATAAGCATACGTGCATTTTTTGAGGAAAAAGTCCCAGTTCATTGGTATGTAGTACACCACAAGAAGTAAGATAAGTTCTTCTATGACAAGTCATTTTAAATTCCTTGTATCTTACATAAGTATGCAGAATTTTACTGTAATCCATTTTATATACAGTGTATACAATTCACACATACAGTCCCAATAACAGACCCAAGAAAAAAACCTGCCTTTTTTATTTGTACACAAGTTCTACCTTTATTCTTTAGTTAAAACCTCCAAAATTTCTTAAAATTGAAGTTATATGGTCATTTAACACTTAATTTCACTTTCCAGACTAATGTGCAAAACAGTTCAGGGCAGGGGATGCACACACAAGCAATATGCAAATTAACATTCATCAGTTGTTTTCTTACACGTCAATAGGTAGTCAGCACGTTCTCTACACTTTCTGCTAAACTAAGCAATATCCTTCTAGAGTAAAAATACCTAGTTGCTCAAGTAAGACAAAAGATTCCCTACTTCATAATTAGCAAATACATTTAAGAGCGAGTAAGGCTTTACAAGATTAATTTCCACACGCTATTTAAAAATCTCATAATTGAGGTTTCTGTAGATTTCCTTATCCTTAGGTATCAAAGGATCGCTTCAAATGAAATGGAGTTATGTTTCCCATGAGCATTTACCTGTGTAGCAATAAAGAAGTGATGAGGGTTGCCTTCTTCAATCATGGAAAGTAAACAGGCCGAACCACTCACAGGATCCTTGTGGTGAGAACAGTTTCGAACTTGAAATCTTTGGGCAATTAATTTTGCTCCGTACAGTGCTTTCCCCAGTGATTCCAGTTCTTTTAGAACACATCTGAAAACCAAGACCAACAGTGATTTCTAAATGAGAAAATAACTACACACTTCTTACAACAGCAAAAGGTTGACATGAGTTCATTAGGAACAAGCAATATCCAGTTGTTCAGGCTCTACGATTTGTAAATGGCACCCAGTAACTTCAAAGCAGTAGCCCATCTCAAGATGTCAGCAAGATTTCCCCGGTTCCAAACAAGATTAACCAGTAACAACATTAAGTTATATTTAATGATTCAAAAATATTTTGTATTGGTGACAATGCTAAGTCCTTACATTTAGGTTCAGATATCACCTAGCATAGCAACTTCTACTTAACAAATAAAATTACTTGAATTAGCACAAACTGATTAATCACATGCAAGTTAAACTCTGTATTGGCATCCATCATCTTGCTTCAAACTTGCTATCAGAATCCAACTGACTAAAGCAAAAGAAGAAAGAAGGTTGTCCATGTGATTAAAAATCTGGAAGTTTACGGCTCCCCAACGTTTCAACTAGACAATAAAACGCAAATCTAAAATCCTCCTCTTAGCAGCAGTTAGAGCAGACGTTCACACATGACAGAGTAGCAGTCTATGAGGATGCTTGCTTATACTCAGAAAAGAACAGGAGATGAAACCTAACTTACTTTGGCCACTGAGCCATACTCTTAAATGGAGACAGTGGTAGGAATGTATGGGCTTAAAATACAGGTTCAAGGATATGGTAGCACGGTGATTAATCGGAAGAAGCCAGCATGCCAAAAACCTCTTTGGAACTTGTATTTAGTTTACATTTATCTCCAAAATAACTGCAAGATATTAAATAAAACTATTTTTCTTTCCAGAGAAGAAAGTTTAGCCTTTGAGGACAGTCTTTGTGGAGACTTGAGCCTGTTCTTTGACTCTCACAGCGGGCCAGCTCACTTCCTCAGGGAAGCTCCGGTCATGCCAGTGAGGTGCTGCCCCACCAACTTAGCATTCTGACAGCAGAGAAAACGAGTCCATTCAGCTTCCCTAAGTGAAAACAGGTCAAAAAGACCAATAGTGCTGAAAGAAGGAAGCCAGAAGGGACATTTAGACATGACTGGAATACAGTGTGGATCAAAGTGATTCCTGAACCTTTCACAGCTAAGGTCATGACTTGATACCTTCTGCTGTTTAGAAGTACGGGCCAGTTCCGTATGCTTTCCAGGATGGCTCAGTGTTTAATTTTTGTAGCCTAGGGTATACATCTTCCCGATATTTTCAGTACTTGCCTCCAGGATGGGCAGTTGGCTATTCTGTCACTGCAGAAATCTGAGTGAGGAAGATGTTATCATACCCAACATACAAAGCCAAGTAAAAACAAAGGCAACCTCAAGGCAACTTGGGTATTTAGCGTGCACGCTTTATTTACTTCCACACCTTTGTCTAGCGCATCCTTGTTCTCCCTTGAGAGCAGCTACTCTGGGAACAGCCCCTTACCGGCAGGCTGAAGCTCCAGACACGCAGTAACTGCCTCCCCACCCAAGAGACCTGAGCTCGCCTCTGTTCTCACTGCACCAAGAAGACGCTGGGGGTGGGAAGGGGCCCCTCACACCCCGGCGTTACCCCTGGCCCCACCACATCCCTCAGCAGTCTCCGCCATCTTCGGAAAGGCAGCTTCGGGAAGAAGCTCCTGTCCTTCTGCAAGTTAACTACAGCCCACAGCGCTACCTCCTCACCGCGGCTACCGCCCTCGGCCCCGTAACCTGGGGAGCCCAGAGCCGCGCTGGGGCCGAGGAGGGGCCCCGAAGGGGCTGAGGGGAGGCCGAGGAGAGGCCCAGGAGGGGCCGAGGGACGGCGGCCTTCCCCGCCCGGCCCCGCGCACTCCGACCCCGGCCGCCCGGGCATGCGCACGGCGGCGGGCCCCCCCCGGCCCCCCCCCCCGCCCCCCCGGGGGGGGCGGGCCGCGGGGGCC